GCTGTCAGTGCTTGTAGAACAAGACGTCTAACGCATTTGACATAATATATAAACATATAAACACTCACGCCTGCCCACAAGGGTAGGCAGAGACTACGGATTTACATTTGGCAAGATCCTGACACTCCTCTCTCGCCTCCCTTACATCTATATATCTACGTATACAAGCTCGTCGGTTAAGGGTACTCCTAATCTGGCCCATTTTCAACATATCGTCAGTTTGATCGACAAATCTTCGTCAAGGGCGGGACGCCCTGACTCTGCCGTTCACATCTGCAATATAAATTTGCTTTGTGTGATATTTTCGGGAATAAATTGAAGGTAGTTAAGGTTCTCTTTGGTCGCTTTAGACATTGACTTAACACTCCCGAAAGGGTTTCCGGTTTTCCCACTCACCATAAGTTACACGTTTCCATTTATGATGTAGATATATCATTGACGCTTTATCCGCATAAATTTTTCCAAATACCCCGTCGGTGAAGTGATTTTTAAATTTTCTATTATAGCCAATTTTAAAACTGCCTAATTCCCTACTAGTAGAAATTTCATCTCATACAGCCTGTTCAAAAGGCGGAAAAGATTTTCCGACATACCTAGCTCCCTTCTCCTTCGCCATCAGATATGGGCCTCTCACATCGTCTCACATTTAAAAAAAAAAATAAGGAGAAAAAATTAAAAAAACTTTAAACGCCGCTGCCAGTTGCCGCTCTGGGTTATTTACGTATGACGTAAACGATATAGTTTAACGCTATCAGAAGTCTCAAAACTTTTAGACATATCCCATAGTCAAACTCTTACGACATCTACGGGCTATCATAAGTCTTAAAACTTTTTGACATATTTTATTTATTTATTTATTTACACTTTATTGTACTAAAGGTACAAACGGCGGACTTAATGCCATATGGCATTTTCTACCAGCCAATCGGATAGTGGGAGATGTGTACTGCAGTGGGCTAGGATGAAACATAAAATTGATAAATTACATGATGACATATCCCATAGTCAAACTCTTACGACTTCTACGGGCTATGAGAAGTCTTAAGATCTTTTGATATATCCCATTCCCATAGTCAAACTCTTACGACGTCAACGGGCTATGAGAAGTCTTAAAACTTTTTGACATATCCCATAGTCAAACTCTTACGACATCTACGGGCTATGAGAAGTCTTAATATCTTTTGACATATCCCATAGTCAAACTCTTACGACATCTACGGGCTATCAGAAGTCTTAAGATCTTTTGACATATCCCATAGTCAAACTCTTACGACATCTACGGGACGAAAAGGAATGACGAATTCTGTTACGCCGCTTTCTTTTTTTTTATTTATTTAGGACAACCAACAAGACGTACACGAACACAATATAAATACTACAAATTACAGGAAGGTTTATATCTAAGTGTCGTCTTAATTAAAGGTTGCCACGGCATGCAATGTGGACAACGAATATGTTTCTTTCAGATACTTAGATAATTACCTAGTTATAAACTAGTGGTGGTGTAATATCTACTACCCTATATCGTGCCGTGGATGTCGTATGAGGCGACAGAGGAAAAAAAACAGGAGATGGGCATAAGACCAACTAGAAACAAATATATGTAGTTGCTAACCCACCTGCCACGCGTGGCAACTTTGGCAAATACCCCACTTATGAGGCAATCTACGGACAGACGTGGTAGAGCCACACTGCAGCTATTATGGTTGTATCATGAGTGGATTGGCTCGACTGGGGAAGGACCACGCTCTCACAGAATACCAGCATTAAAATAGCAGCGTAATGCTGCTGTGTTTCGTATGGTGAGCGTAGAGAACCGGAGACCCTTTTCACTGGAAACGACGCATTCCATCTTAGTCCTCACGGGTGACAACGCATCTGTATTTTGATTCGTAATCGAGTATAGATGTAGATGTCTATGGACCACAGCAACCACTTGCCATCAGGTAGACTGTGTGCTCGTTTGTCACCCAATGTTATAAGAAAAGTCTATCCATCCATCCATCAATTCCAGCCCATCAAATTCCACTACGATACTACACTAAGCTACTATTTTACGCTGGTATTCTGTGAGAGCGTGGTCCTTCCCCCGGTCGAGCCGACCCACTCACGCTACAACTATACTACTAATATAACTGCAGCATGGCTCTACCACGTATAAAAATTATATTGAATATATAGTATAGTATGTATCAAAATTCTGTAGTACTATTCCGCTTTATTACAAAAAGTGACTTTTAATTAGTCACGAGTTTAGAATAGGGCTTGTTTACACAAAGAAGTCCCGTTGAAAATATGCATACTTACTAAAATCTTAAGTATGTATGCATTTTGACAACAAATATCAAATTTCGCGAAGACTGTGGTGCCGTGAAGAAGGGTTTTATGAAAATCTTCTTTAACCATAGTTTAAATCCGAAACTATAAATAGACTACGTTCTATAAAACGGCGGGATTATATACTCGTACTATGTATCTATGGTGTTTTGTTTGTAATACGCTATTTATTATAAATAAACGTTAAAGCTATAAATTTTTGTGGAAAAAACTGGAAAATTACGTATAATATTAGCTCACACTGCGTGCAATGTTAATGAGGAATAATTATACAACATACCTACTTACGTGTAATTATTTTCTTTTGTTTTTCTTTAAGGATATTAGTAGTACTGTTTTAGACATTAAAACTTAGGGCTGCCAACCTAACTACAAAATATGTTACACTACTAGATATTCTTATAAGCTATATAATTTATATATTGTAATACAAAACACCGTCACCTGCAATTTTTTGTGAAATAGTAAAAGTATAAATCGGAAGTGTTTCATGTTACAAAACGTTAATCCATCCTTTAAATTAAAAAAGTCATTGGACTTTTTTATAATAATAACTACGTATTGGCCAACTTAATAAAACAACAGTTTTATTCATCAGACCTACATGTATCACATACACTATCATAAGCTCTCACGCCTGTTACCTAGAGGGGTAGGCAGAGACTACGAGCTTCCTTGTGGCACGATCCTGACGTACAAACCAATCCTGCTTCTATCACATATATATATATATACGCACATATGAGCTCGTCGGTTGAATGTACTTTTAATTTGGCCCATGTTCAATATATTACTAATTTGGTTGATAAAATTTCGTCAAGGGCATCTCTTGCAGTATCTAAGCCTTCATCATCATCGTTACAGCCCTTCACAAGTCCACTGCTGAACATAGGCCTCCCCCAAGGTATGCCACAAAGCAAGGTCCTGAGCCACCTGCATCCATCGACTTCCTGCATGTCTTACCAGGTCGTCACTTCATCTAGTGGGGGGTCGCCCTACACTTCTACCACTCGAGAACCTTTTTTCCCCAACGGTTGTCGGTTCTTCGGGCTATATAGCCGGCCCATTGCCACTTCAGCTTACTAATCCGTTGGGTTATGTCGGTCACTCTAGTTCTACTGCAGATATCCTCATTTCTAAGTTTATCACGCAGAGAAATAGCCCGAGCATAGCCCTCTCCATAGCTACACTAGATTTTGAGCGTCCTCATACGGCCAGCAGTGAAGGACCACGTCTCGGTTCCGTAGGTCATCACTGGCAACACGCACTGGTTGTACAACTTAGTTTTCAGGTTTTGATGTATACCTGACGAGAAGATGCGTCGTAACATTCCGGACGCTGCCCAGCCGAGTTGAAAATGTCGATTGACCTCTCGGTTGAAGTTGGACTTACCTAGTCGAACTTTTGTCCCAGGTAAACCCACTCGTCAACAACTTCGAGCGTAGTGCTCCCAACAACTACCGGCATAGGTGTGACATCAACATTAAACATGATCTTTGTTTTGTCCATATTCATCTTAAGACCTATCCGTTAGGAGACACCATTGAGGTCATTGAGCATAGTGCTTAGGTCCTCCAGTGATTCTGCCATAAGGACTATATCGTCGGCAAATCGAAGGTGAGTGATGTCCTCACCATTGATGTTAATACTGTATCATTTCTAGTCCAGTAGCTTGTAAACATCTTCCAATGCAGCGGTGAAGAGTTACGGTGAAATAACGTCACCCTGTCTTACACCTCTCTGCAGTTGGATAGGTTTCGTACTCTGGTTCTGTACTCGGCTAGCCATCGTAGCCCTACTGTACAAACACTTCAGCACTTCGATATACCGACAGTTAACTTGGCACCGCTGAAGAGACTGTAGCACCGCCCAAATTTCGACGGAATCAAAGGCCTTCTCATGGTCCACATACGCCGGGCAAAGTGGCGGGTTGTACTCTTCGGACTTCTGTACAATTTGCCGAAGGGTATGTATGTGGTCTATAGTACCAAAGCCTTTTCGGAAACCGGCTTGTTCGGGAGGCTGGAAGTGCGAGACGGTTCGTAATGACTCTCGAAAACAGCACGTAGACGCGGCTCAAAAGGGATATCGATCTGATCTCGGCGTTTTCACCTTTCTTGAAGAACAGGACCACCGCACTTCTGCTCCACGCCTCGAGAGTAGTGCCTCCACGGAGGACGGAATTAAAGAGCATCTGAAGGACTTCAAGTACCGGTTTACCACCAGCTTTCAGAAGCTCCGCTGTAATTCCATCCTCGCCCGGGGACTTGCCGTTTTTAAGGTGCTGGAGAGTCATTATAATCTCGCTCAGACTGACGTCCGGGATATCATCGGAATAGTGTCGGATAAGACTTGCTCTTGGATCGTAACTCACACTTGCGTGTGGCTCCAACAATGATGTGTACAGCTGCCCATAGAACCTCTCAATCTCACTCAAAATCTCAGGTGTCCCGGAAAAGATGCTACCACACTCAGTCTTCAGCTTTGACAGTTAGCTCTTTCTGGCAGACAGATCTCTGGCAAAGACTTTGGAGCCCTGTTTCCGCTCGATTGCTTCTTTAATACGAGCAGTATTAAAGTTGCGTAAGTCTCGCCGCATGCATTTGGAGATCTGTCTGTTCAGTTGCCTGTATGCTGTCAAATCTTCTAAGTAAAAAACCCCCCTAATCTTCTAGGCACTGAAAGCGGTTACGTAACTCGAGCTGAAAGGTTTCGGGATTCTGGATTAGAGCACGAGGGGGACGGAGCGTTGACTTCATTAGACGAGACCTCTCCAACTTAACGTTTAGGTTCAGTGTACCTCTAACCATTCGGTGATCGCTGCCAGTTTTCACCCTTGCGATCACTGAGACATCACTGAACAGTTGGCGTCTGGTCGTCATAATGAAGTCAATCTCATTTTTTGTCGAACCGTCGGGGCTCGACCAGGTCCACTTCCTGTGGGGCCGCTTCTGGAAGAAAGAGTTCATCATAAAGAGTCCCTCTTTCTCCATAAAGTCGGCCAGCTGCTGGCCCCTACGATTCCGTTGCCCTACTCCAAATTTCCCTAACTTCAACTCACCGCCTTCTCTTGTGCCTAGTTTTGCGTTGAAGTCTCCCATAAACACCGTGTAATGGGTTTTGGAGGAATGCATGGCTCTAGAAATATCGTCATACATTTCCTCCACCTCCTCATTGGGATGTGCCGAGGTTGGCTTGTAAACCTGCATGACCTTCAACGAATACCGTTTGGTGATTCTGAGTATCAGGCACGCGACCCTCATCGACACACTCCCAATCTTTACAACGTTGGTGACGAGAGACTTGTGTACGATAAATCCGACACCTCCTCAGGACAAATGGTCGCCCTTCCGGTAATAGAACAAGTTGCCGGACTCGAGGATTACCGTGTCCTTCCCCTCTCTTCGGACCTCGTATAATCCAATAATATCCCAGCGCAACTTGTCTACCTCTTCTTACAGCTCCAGTATCTTCTCGTCAGTCTTCAGGGTGCGTGCGTTATATGTTGCCAGGTCGAGTAGTCGTAGGTGGCAACCGAACCTCCACCGGAGATTTTTAGCACCTCTTGCCCCGCCGTTACCATGGTCGCCACCGTAACCAGGAATAGCGGGGCCGCCGGGGACTGGGGGCCGTTTGTTTGCATCGTTGCTCATGGGGGGATATTTGCCATAGTTGCCACGCTTGGCAAGCGGGTTAGCAACCGCAGTTTTTTATTATATTATAAGATGCTGCTGCCTATCTCCTGCCTGTTTCCCTCTGTCGCCTCTTACGACACCCACGGGAAGATATGGGGTAGTGGATATTCTCAACCGCCATCACACGGCACTAAGCCTTACTTCTATAGTATTAATTTGCTTTGTCACTCTTTCCTCATTCACTATTTCTACATGACTAAATTACCCAAGTTTTATTTCTTATGCTCGACACACACGGTCTGTTAAACTTATTATTTGAACTGATATACATTCAAAAACTGACCGTGAATTTTAAGTTGAAATTTTTAACTAACGGCAACCCACGGATTATTCCGGGCGCACGATCATTTAAACTGATTAGTTAAACTGACATACCTACATCCAAATACTAGCCGTGAGTGTGAAATCATAAGTTGAAATTTGAAGCCAGTTAGTGGGGAAATCGTTTTGGCTTACATATGTTTGAACTGATCAGTTTAACTGATCTGTTTAACTGACCGTGTGTGTCGGTCATTAAGTAGTCATAACATCTTTATCTAAGCCGCCCTTTTCTCTTATTACACAATTTCTCACCCTATCAATCAGAGTCAACCCTAAAATACTCCTCAATGACCGCATTTCTACAGCAAATACTTTGCAATATTTGTCAAATACTCATTTATTATTAATGTAAATAATTTTGAAATTGAAATGACTAATGGTCATTTCAATGCAAATTTAAAACCGACGAAAGAGTGAAACAGTCGATGTATAGATAACAATATTATCTGTGAATTTTTACTCTAATATATATTTTATTTATACGAGTAAAACATTCACCTTTTTTCAAAATGGCAAGCCTATTATGGGCCATTAATATTGCGCCCCCAACATTGCGTGAATAGAGATCGTTCTGCGACGATTAATTAGCAATTCAAACAAATTTAGCTAATAACTACAGCTAAAGTTGGTAGCGATTACATTTTGTGGTAACAAATTCTTACTGACCCCTCATTTGTTTTTGTTGTCTTTTTAGAATCATTCTATTAATGAAAGATAGCAAGAAAAAACGTTGAATAAAACTAACTTGAAGGATCTTATCGCGTTTAACTGACTAACTGACTAACTGACTCCGTCACCATGGGTGCTTTAGAGCACCCATGGTCACGGAGAGGGTTTGACGTCCCGATGTCATAATTGACGAAGGCTACCTTCAACTTTCAATTATTAATTTTTGTTCCGATCTGCGCAGAACGAGCTTACAGTATCTTGAAGTCTTGCAGTAGTATGCTTGGGTTTGGATTAATTTGATTAATTATGCGATCCCAAGCAGATGGAAGCACCCAGCCATCTTCTCTATTGAAATTAGGAAGTTTTTTTTTATTTCAATATAGTACGTGAGGGTAATATGGTCATCCGGTTCATATGGTCACTTTCTTATAACTTAAAAACTACAGCCTTGTTTACATAGATAACTTTGTGATACGATAGCTCTTCATCAGTAAATCAAATAATAAAGGATCAAAAAGGCGTTGCTTTATCGACGCCATTATGACAGTTGACATTATAGTAAATATTTTAGTCTATTTTAGTATTGTGTAGTGTAAGTAAATTTTTATATTGATTTTTCGAAGTGTTCCTAATTATTGCTAAAGCGTGTTTGCTATTTACTTATAAATATATATGTTTAAAGAAACGCAAATATGTCAATTTGTTCTCGTTTAATAATTTTTTAATTTTGTTTTCAATTTTTTAATTTTGTCGTTTAGTATACGCTGTCTTCCTCTTTGTTTTGGTTTTATAGGGCGGCAGAGCTTAAGGTGACCGTATTACCCTCGCGTACCTTAGCCTCGCTAATCATCCTTGGTATTTACTGTTGAACAGTAACTGTTTGGGTTGAAGTTTTTCCGTTGCTATTAGTAAAATCTTGGCGTTGCCAGTCATCTTAAATTGGCATTTATTTTAAATAAAAACGAAAATTTGCCAATATTTCACATTTTGCTGAGTATTAGATCATTTCGTCATTAATACATGTTCTTGAATACTGAAATGAATATTGTTGAATACTGTAAAATTGTGATAAAAACTGTAGAAAAAAAAACAGATGACATAAATAATACCGATTGATATAAATATCGATTATACAATGCTTATACCGTTAACGACTGCCTCGTTGGTCTAGTGGTTGTAGTAGTGCGACTGCTGATCATGAGGTCCTGGGTTTGAATCCCGGGTCAGGCCTAAAATCAATTATTGAGTTTTTCCGTCAAGAAATTCTCAGTAGTTGCCCGGAATCAGGAAGTTGGCGAAGTCTAACCCCCGTGCCTAGGAAAGCACGTAAAGCCGTTGGTCCTGCGCCTGATCTCTCCCCGGTCGTGTCGGTTTACCGTCCCATCGGATTATGAGAGTGAGGGAATAGAGAGTGCACCTGTGCTTGCGCATATATTTGGCCTCTTAATCCTGCTCAAGAAGCAAGAAGACTGCGCCGGACGAGAGTGCCCAAGGCAGGCACTGTCTGCACTGCGACCGGACGAGATCAGTCGCATGGGCAAGGAGTCATTTGCGACCGGACGCGCGGAACGTGGCGCCGCCATACCAAATACCGACACCTAACCCTAACGGTGCCAAAGCCGGTACTTGTGGCGGTACAAACGATCGAGCGAGTTTGCCACTGACATTTCGGGGAAAGTGAACATTTCGGCAGGGCCATACTTCGTGCGTCTATCAGGGTCTGTAAGTAGGCACGTCGAGGTATGCGGACGTTCCTCTCGTACTCTGAGCAACCTGAGAAGCTTACGTCCACTGATGGGCAATTACATCTTACAAGGTACATCTTTAGACACGCCCACTTCGTTGTCCGAACGCAGCGTTGTGGGGTGTTGATCTGTGACCACGGTGACGCAATACCCGTACGTCCCCCTACGAGGCATGGGCCATAGATGTCTATGGGTCACAGCAACCACTTACCATCACGTAGATCGTGCTCGTTTGTCATCCTATTAAAAAAACGAGTTCGATCGATCGAAGCGACGGTAGCCTAATGGCAGGGCGCGTACCGCGAACTCAAAAATGTCATGGGTTCGAATCCGCCATTCGACTACTTGCGTGAACCACTCGTAACACAAGCAATTTAAGCTTACCACGAGTGGTTAAGGGGAATATTAGTAATATTTATAGCATTGTTAATATTCTTTAAAAAAAAAGATTACCGCCGGCACCAACGAAATTGTTAATTACAATTTTAAGTGCTGATTTACCACGTGCTCGACGGGGAAGGGAAACATCGTGAGGAAACCTGCATGTCACACATTGGGGTAGCGCGGCGAATATTTCCTTGCCCTCAAAACCCTCTCGGAAATTAAAGGAGGCCTGTGCCGAGCAGTGGGACGTGTATAGACTGTCACTTTAATTTTTAAAAGTACAGAGCGAATTGTTTAACGAGGGACGTATTTAAGTAGGATGTTATTCAATTCTCGTTCTAGACGTCGCAGTAGGAATCTATACATATTGTTACGAGCTTGAGGTTCGTGACAATCAAAATTGCCGATAAAATTACCTAAATTAATACTTTAATTTACTTTACACAAATTAAAACTAAAAACAACTAACTACTTAAACACACTAATTCACTTAATTCCGCTCCGAAGCTTCGCTTGTGTCGCCGAGTTCAACTCTGCCCCGATCGCATCTTGCAGCGCCTATTTATATAATTAGCAAAGAAGCGTCCCGAACATTCAAGTAAATGCGCGCCAGGCAACGAGTATTCGAGTGTAGATTTTCCAGAAACTTAGTTCTTCGGGTGGCGCTGTCGGTCGAAAGATTTGTGATGTCATTTACTGCAAAGCTCCCCTCGCTCCCGTTCCTGACACTAGATGGCGCTAGTTGACTTATTTATGCAACAATATAATAAATCTGTAGAAAAGTCGTATCTGTAATTCTAATATTTTCTAAAAAAAAGTCCAGAGGGCTAAATAAAGGTCACTGAAGCGAAATTAGTTGTTTTTAGAATTTTTGGTTTGTCTGTGTATTCAGGATTCACGCAAAAAATTTCCATGAAAGTTTGTTTTTAGGTAGTTTTAGACCCGAGGCAACTTATAGGGTACTATTTATCCGATTACGGAACCACAAAAAGTATTTTTCTTCCTCAAGACGTTAATTTCTATTTAATATAATTGATTTGTTTTTTTTTTAATAAATAACATATTTATAAACGAAGATTTTAATTAGTTTTAACCGTTGCGTAATAACTTAAACTACGCCGACAATCTACGTTTCACTTTTTTAAAACAGTTCCGTCCAAGGTAAAACACAAAGAGTAGTAATATTTTGCCTCCAGTTACTAATAAATTAAACAATATAAATAACTTACATTTTTATGTTTAAATAATTAAATTCATAATTAATTTAAAAATTCTAACTTTCATTTTTCAGTTCTTTTGTTTCATTTTGTTAGGAATAAAAAAATATAGTACCTAGCTAATTACTACTTAAATAGATAATAGTGACATCTATCGAAAATTGCAAAATCTGAGATGTTTCTAAGTTTAATTTCTAATCTATAAAATTTTAGTATTTTTTAGTTTTTTCTT